TAAGGAATCAGGTGTGGACATGCTTACTGTCATTATCATGCAGCTATTTGAGCGGGAAGCTTCAGATTCATTTTTCACTTCGGTCATAAAGAAATTACTGTAGCAGTCCGAGGTTTGGCACCTCGGCCCTGTCCTTACAAGTGTAAAGAACTGATATGCTCCGGTTCAGTAAACGGTTGCCTAAAATGAGTAGCGGATATTTTGGTTAACCAAAATTTCGGTCTCTATTTGACCGAAACCGCCCGAATCCAACCTCCAAGTTCTCTGGATTTCATTTGTCTGTTTCCCGAGAAAATTGCAGGAGTACAAAAAGATAGTCATTTAGGGTATATGAGGAAAGTTTCGTAGGTAATTGTGAATTTCTAGGTTTACGTCTGGTTGCTGAGAAAAATAGGCAAGAGTAAGTTTGATCCTTTTTATCTTTTTCTCGTGGTTAGAAGTTTCTGTATTTTAACATATTCTTTTCTAGCTTCTGTTTTGTAGTTAGTCTAGGATTTAGCTCCGATTCCCTCTTTTGGTTAATGAAAAAATTTTAAAGGGAAAGGGAAGGAATACAAATTTTGAGGAATTGTATTTATCCTCTGATTTCTATGTCGTTAGTTAGAGAGAAGAAATTTCGTGTTAAAAAGAAGTAATACTGAAGAACTTAATTTTTGAGATTAATTATAATCAAAGTTTATCCCAGAATTTCTTGTGAACGAGGGATTTTGCAAGGTTTTAATTCCTTGATGATCAGTCGATTTCTTTTACTGTTTGTCCCATTATTGCTTTCTACAATGCTAATCTATATTTGGTGGAGAATACTAGGAGGTGGTTCTTTTCTAAGAAATAGTAGAAGATTAGAGAGCTTCCTCCATACAAATTTGATGCCAAATGTGATGAGAAGTCAGAAATTTTGGGGAAAGAAATAGAGCACAGTGGCTTTTGAAAGATATTTATCTTTGAAGATGATGATGAATGAGTATCTACTTTGTTATCTTTATAGTCATGTGTTTTGTGACTGACAAAGACAGTTACAACAACATTCATCCGGGCTTTGATCACGCTTGTGCGGCTACTCTGGCCTTACCAAAGAGTGCACAAGGAAATGTCTATATGGCCATGTCTCTGGGAGGTTGATGGTAAGCTTCTCTTGATTCCTAGAAAATTTGGAAGTAGATTTTTTTAGTATATTTTTTTAACATGAGGGTCAGAGGAAATCTGTTGGTGGTTTTAATTGTTTCTAAACTTTCTTATGGTTGCTGTTAAAAATGTGGGAAAGAAAGAAAGAAAGAAAGAAAGAAAGGGGAAACTCTGAAATTTAGCTTGATTTCTTCATTTCTTGGAAAGGCATATTTAAATGGACAAAAGTCCAATTTTCATTTGTATGCTTTTTTGGGGAAAAATTTAGGATATCTTCTTAAATCTTACCTCAGCCAAGAGGTTCTCAATTTTGACAAATTTCTTTTTGCTGCTCATTTTACTTTTAGATTTCTCATTTATTTTGACTGCTGAAATGTTACAAGCAGATCTAAGATGGTGTCGGTCTGTCAAATTATGAGCTTTGTTGAGTGTAGATATCTAGGTAATGTTACCAGATATGTGGTCACAACTTGGAATTTTGGTATGTCATCTCAAGCAGATTTCCTAAGTTCAGAATGTGCTACTTTTTGTTCATTCACTTTTATTATTTCATCCTAAAAATAGCTAAGATAGAGAAGGGTGTTTGGATTGGGTAGTCCATGGTGGTGGTATTTGGAAAGTGAAATGGAATGGAACATTGGATAATGCTACATTGTGAAGAAAAATGGTAACTTTAATGAAACCTAGGTGATATGTGTGATCTTAGCTTCAAGGGCTTTAGTTATAGAGGAACGTTTGTTGGAACAATTTATCAGCTTCATTGGAGTTGTCTAACTTCTATTTTGGCACCTAAAGAGAGCTTATTATTTCAAAGTAAAACCCCTAAGCTTACATAGAGCACTTGTACGCATGGAGTTAAAGTACACTACACAGCAAATTGGAAGAATTAAACAATATACATTTTTATTAGGTGAATCTTGACTATGTGTAATCTGTTTTTCTAATTTATGTATTGTAGATGTGGATCTTAGGGAATCCGGTGAAGATTGAAGGTACTGGCTCCATTAATAAAAGGGCTATATATGTCGGAAATCATGCTTCTTCTGTCGTCATTTTCCTGCTATTGTGGTTGACTCCAACAGGGCAACAGGCATATTGGCATTGCAAAGACAGAGGTGTGTATTACCATTTTAATTTATGCATTCTGAATTTTCTCAAAGGCTTTAACTAGCAAGTTTACTATAAGCACATGCTTTGCATAAATGTACATCTCCTGCATAGAACTTGAGATGAAAGTTGAAGATTTAAGCTATTAGATACCCCCTATTTGGATAATAGTGATTAGATTTTACATAAATTATAGTGGCCAAAACCTAATGGGATTCCTATTTTTCAGGTTGATCTCTCAACCTTTGATGAAGGTCTGTTTGCATTTTTAACGCACTTACAATTCCAAGTTGACCAATCCCTTCCTCGGATCTTTCTTGGGAAATGGCAGGATACCTTGGACCTCTTGGTTTCTCCAATACCCCATTTAGTTTTTATCTTTGATCAATGAAAGGAATAACAGGGCGCATTTGGTTCCCCTTATGGTTCTTGCTGGATGTTTCTTGTGGCATAGCTCATAGGAATTGGATTGATCATATTAGAAAATGAGAATTTGTTAGATTTATTCGACAGATATTAAATGGGCAATTGTGCATCAAGAGTCTCTGTTGTGTGTTAACCTTTGTTCATTCACCATAATTGCAGATTCTATTGGTAAATCTAGATATATAAAGCTTACATCAAAGGATACAGGGCGTCCTGATCTTTTAAGTGCACGAATTGTGGTCATTGGAGTGTGTACATTCAAAAGTGCATAGAACTTTAAAACAACAGAGAAGCATTTTGAAACACTTGGTGCTGGAGGTAGATCATCCATAATACTTCCATTGCATAGGACTGAATTTTTCATTGTACTTGCCATTCTAGTTGTCCTTACTTTATTGGAAAAGAGAAGTTTCATCTTTCTACCAGCGTTAAAGAGTTTAATTATGAGTTTCATGTTCATAGATTTCAAAAAGTTCCCATCTTCCTTCCTCAACTCCTATAAATATGAAATAGACCCTTTGTTTTTATGATAAGAGTTAGAGTTTTTTTAAGCTATAATTTAAGGGCACATGTTATGAAAATAATTAATGTAATTTTTAGTTATTAAATTACATAAAAAAATAAAATTTAACTTTAATTTTAATAATTAATCAATTAAATTAAAACACATGATAGTGATGTTAAAATTAATATTAATTTTTTTGTTTTTCAATGTAAATTAATGATCAAAAGGCGCATTAATTACACATTTTCTTATGTATTAACTACACCAAAAAAAAATCCCAAGAGTTATTATGTAGTAATTTTGATGTTTTCTCTCTTGTTCAGTTGGTGCTACCCAAGCTGCCGTGGGTGGTGGATTTGTTCCTAGTGATGTCTTGGTTAACAATCATTATAAATAGATTGCTTTGAAGAAGTATGGTTTTGGTATCACCTCTCATCAACCAAGCAAAAAATGAGGGAAATATAAAAGATTTGATAGAATAAATGTTTAATTGTGCAAAGTTTTATTGCTAGTAGGCAAAACAAACAGTTAACATAGAGCTTGGGCACTTTACTCTCTTCTTACAACATTGCTTTCTGAGATGCCTTTTCCATTCACTTTGTTAATCACAAAAAAGGTAACCTAAGAGCTAGAGAATAACGAAATGCAAAATGGACTGAGAAACTCTTGGCTTAAACGCTAGGAGACTGGTTTGCATCTCCGTTCTGATTGCTATTGCAGTTGAATTTGGATTTCAGAAAGTTAGCTGCAGGCTCCACTGCAGACACAATTGAATCACGGATCTCTTTGTAGGATTCGCAAGCCAGCTTTACAAAGTAGAGGAACCATACGATAAGCAACGACCATCCAACGTAAGGCTCGATAATCAAAAGCAGCAGGATTAGAGCTAGAGATCCGGCGAGGAGGAAGATTGTGCTCACAACAGCGGGGCAATCTGCACCGGCAGCTTCGAGTTTGATTTCGATTCCCAGTGATACGGCACAGATGACGATGACAGTGAAAAATGCCAAGATGTGAAGCCTGTGCGTGTCGAAAGGGGAAGCCTCCGCTGATTGGAATCTTAGTTGCAGGAAGGAACCGAACACAGAGACGAGGATGTTTAGAAGCCCGAGTAATGGTCGGGTCCAACTTGCAATCAAAGAAAAGATAAAAAGAATAGATTCATTGCCTATTTCAAAAAAAAAATAAATAAATAAAATTTTTTTTTTTGAGAACTGCTAGGTACTGTAGTTTATTTCTGTATTTTTCAACACTCTCTTATTTTAAATGGTATGTGAGGTGCAGAGTGGATTTGTGATTGCAAATACTTGTCAATAGGCTTTTATTAAAATATAAAATAACTGCTCAATTAAAAAAAAAAAAAAAGCCCTTAACTTGACAATTTTAAGGCGTTTGGTTTTATATTTTTGGTAAACAAGGCGCTAACGCAAGGTTTTTTTCCTTTTTTTGCAGGGGATTGGGAAGGGGAGTTTTTACCAGACTTTACACGATTAAAGTACAATACCTTTGTTTATAATAAAAAAAAATGGAAAAAGAGGAGAATACCTTTGGATACTGGAAACCGCAGGAGGCATTTTTCTGTGCTTGTAAACAATCTCTTGGCAATAGAAGAAAGCTAATTTTGAAAGTTTTTCAAAGCATCAGAGGAAGAGAAGCGATTCAAAGAAAGTGTTAGTGCAGCCGCACTGCGGGAAAGGTGGTTTTTATATAGAGTGTTAAGGCCCCTTGCACATTATTAGAATTCCAAATCTTTAATGAATTTTTTTATCTTTGCTTTTCTTTGAAACTCACTACAAAACCAAAAGTGCTTACATGTGGGAGACGACAAAGGATGTGTGGAGTGGAACAAGATCGCAGCGCGGGCACGACAAAGGATGTGTGGAGTGGAAACAGATCGCAGCGCGGGCAGATATCTGGGGCAATCGTTGAACAAAAGAATAGAAGGGTCAGCGCGGGCAGATATCTAGGGCAGTCGTTGGACACTTTGTACCTTGTGATTTTCCCTCCTTTCTCCCTTTCCTCACCGAATGGAATAGGGGTGGGTCCAAATATTTAGAAATAAATTTTTTTGTATTATTTTCTAAGGGCGTTTGCACTTTATTAAAACTCCAAATCTTCAATGAACTTTTTGAATTTTGCTTAAGTTTTGTTTTCTTTGAAACTTACTACAAAACCAAAAAACTCTTCCATGACCAAGTAGCAAAAGGAAAGAGATAGGAAACGCAAAGACTAGGAAGGTCAGCGGGCAGACTTCTGGGCAGTCATTTACGCTTTGTGATCTTCTTAGTTTTCTCTGTCCTCGTCATAGGGAATACGCGTGGGTCCAATATAATAATTTAAAGAAAAATGATTTATTTTTTATATAATTTTATTGTAATTTAAATAATTAATTATTTTTATTTATTTAAAATTTATGATATTAAATATATATTTATTTAATAATATACAAAAATTAAAAAATATATATATCATTATCAACTTCTAAAAAAATTTTAATTTTAATTTTAAATTATGATTGTTTTATTTAATTAAAATTCAATTTAAAATTTA